CCATAGAGGGCTACCAAACTAAGACTGGGACCCAAAAAGTATGGGAAAATGCAGGAATCAAGAGATACAGAGACAATAACTCAATAACGAGGTTGGAGAAGATATTCCTGGGGTTGTGATAACACACAGAGAACCTCACGGGGGGACTAAAACCCGAGCACCAAACCCAGAAACCCCTCGAGGAAGACCCTGCATGTAACTCGAGAAGCTGGAGCCTTAGGGTGCAGAGCAAGCAGGCAGTCCTCAGGGCAAGCTGCACTAGGGGCCCCCAGGGCCCCACTAGCGCTGTGCCAGGACCTGCGAGGCAGAACCCCGGGGAAGGAGAGCCTCTGCTGCCACTTGCTACCCCTCTGGATCCCTTCTCCGAGGACAAATACATCTGGGCACAAACCAGGTGCAGCCCCAAGGGAAAGCTTCAGGTCAGGCGGTTTGAAGCAGCTCTCAGATCTGTTTACCAGGGTTGATGGAAGGGCTGGAGGGGCACGAAGGAGGCGCAAAGGACCTTGCTGTGGGGGAGGGGAGAGATGAAGAACTCCAGTAGCTTCTTAATTGGAACACAGGGGCCTCTAAAACCTTTGTTTTTCCAGGCTCCCAGCACATTGCTAGCTCGCCACAACACCTCTTCCTGAGACTCCTGTGCCCAGCGGAGCTATGATTCTGGGGTCCAGCTCCACTCTCCTATTCACAAGCCGAATCAGTGCTAAGTCTCTTACTCGAAGTCTCTTACACATGTGACCTCACTCATCACAGTCCTGGGGGGGCACTAATATTATCCCTATTTCACACACAAGGAACAAGACTCACAGAGGTGAAGTGACTTGCCCAAATCGTGAAGCCAGATCTGAAACAAAGATTGGGCTGGAACCTGAGGGGAAGCACTGAACTGACTCCCCCACAGAGACACCTCTGGTCACTGCCCCACCTTCGCAGCCAGGGTCCCTCCTGCCCTGGACAGCACCCTGGGCCAGGTCTCTGCAACCGGAAAGCCTCTTCACAGCCCCTGGGTTCTGGGCGATCCCTCTTCTGCCCTCTACCCCAAATCTCTCCTCAGGCTGCCTCCCTCCAGGAGACCCCATCTCTCAAGAGCAAGGAAATACTCAATGCCAACCCCAAACCATCTTTTCCCAGGCTGCCTTTCTCTCCTAATTCCCCTAACCCCACGGGTATTTTCAGAAAACTACCAAGAACCCTGGACACCAGAGTCCTTTGTGTCCCCATTCCTCAGTCCTGCTGGTGTTCTAACTCCAGAGTCTCTCCCTCCCATGCCAGGGTCTCCTCTCCTCAGTCACAGACCTACCTGAACCCTCTCAGTCCAGAGATAACACCTTGCTGCTGGTGTGGAGGTTGCCTGCTCCCCCTGAGCCTCCCCCAATCCCTGAGCACGTTAGCAGCCGTTCCCTGGGCAAAGAGCCTCTCAGTCCCAGAAACAGTGCCCCTCTCCAGTCAACAGGCTCTGGGGCCCACTCAACAGGCTTTTTTTCTCCTTCCCCCATGTTTGCTAGACTGGCCACGCACTGCTGTACTGCACACAGGGTCCCTGTAGCCCATGTTCCTTCAAACTCTGCCAACTTGTTATCTACCCCATCCCACCCCTAGCAAGCCCCCCTCCGGGCCAAGCCACCTGGAGCACTGCCAACCCGAAACAGCAAAAGTCACTGAGTTACTGTCGTCAGGCCCTTCCTGGTCCTAGACCTCCAGGTCCCTAGTCCAGCGAAGCATCTTCCTTCCCTCCCCTCCACCCCAGTCTCAGGACCCCAATGGGTCCCCCACCTCCACCTCAAAGTCAGCCAGAAGGTCCCCAGAGTTCCCAGCATCAAACACGCTACTTGTCCCTATTTGGAGGATGGCTTCCAGCCCTGGCTCTGAACCCCCCTTACCATGCTCAGAGGCTGACCCCCGGGATTCCAATCCCGCAGTGGCTGCTCCATCCATGCGCCCACCGGGGCGCCCAGAGCACCGAGATCAGACCCGCCCCAGCCAGGCACCAACACCTCCATCTCTCCCAACCCAGCACCAAAGACGAGGCCCCCCAGGACCCCCACCGGAAACTCCAAGATGCTCCATTCTCAAAATCCTGATGCCTGGGAGCCTCCCCCAGCGCAGACCACAGGCTCCCACGCCGCCCCCAGGCCCGCCGGGCCCAGACCCGCGACCACCAGGTCCAGCCCCTCCTCGCCACCGCACAGGCAGCCTCCAGCTTGTCCTTCCGACTCGAACAGCTGCAGAAACCACGGTTTCCGGTCTGCGAGCCTCAGGTTCCCGAGTCCTCTCCACTCCCCGTACCCGCCTCACCTCTGAAACCCAAATCCTGTTCCCATTATCTCCCCGGCACCCACGGCCGGTCCGCCAGTGTGCCCAGATCCTTGGCAGCGGCGGGATCCCCCAACCCTCAGACTGTCTCCCCGACCTCCGGCGACGGACTCTCGCGCCCCTCAGTCCTTCCTCCGCCCCGACTCTGGGCTCCCGGCCCCCGCCCCGCGCACTCTCACAATGTCCATCCGGCCCCGAGTAGCCGCCTGGCTCCGGGTGCGGCTGCAGCCCGGGGGGCGGTGGCTGCGCGGTCGCCTCCAGCTCGGGGCCCCCCTCAGTCTCGACCTCCTCGTTGTCGTGCCCGGGCCGCCCCGGTTCGTCGTCGGCCTCGAGCTCCCGCTCGTCGTCGGGCTCCTCGGCCTCCAACGCCGCCTGCAGCCGCTCAGCAAGCTCGGCCTTGAGGCCGCGAGTGTCCAGGCCGCGGCGCTGCAGCTCCTCGCGAAGTTCGTTCACCTTCAGACGGCGCACATCCATGGCCCGGGCCCCCGGGGCGGCCCCCGAGCCCGGCCCGGCCTCCCAGGGCTCTGTCCCCCTTAAACCTTTCCTGTCAGGAGCCGAGGGGGGAAAGGGGGGGGCCCCCCACTCCAATGGCGGCGGCGGCTCAAAATGGCCGCCGCCGCCGCCTCCCCCTTCTCTGTGGCCCCGTGCGATGCAACACGGCAGTCAATTGGCCATCGCTTGGGGGCAACGGGCGCGGGCCCGAAGATTCGGCCAATTAGAGCGAGGCTTTCAAAAGAACGGCAGTGAAAGGGCTCTGAAGCTGCCGAGGAGGAAGCGTTGGCCTACGTCGCTGCCGCGGCCGGAACGGAGGGCGGGAAAAATTGGGAGGCGGAGCTAGCGCTGATTGGGTAGTGCCCGCGCGCCCGCTCCTGTAGGATCAAATGAGAAAAGGGGAGTAAGAATTTGGGCCAGTGAGACATGAGATCTCAGAATAAGCTCCGCCCCCACACGCGGCTTTTCCTGCGCAGTCCTTACATCAAACGAGTGTCTCTGTAATATATATCCTGATTGGTCTAGATCTCCCGCCCCTAGAGAAGCCCAAGCGGCAAAACCACTAGACCCAATCAGACGGAGGGTCGGCAGAAACCCCTCCTTTCACTTTTGCCTTTAAGATACCGGAAAGAGATGTATTGCCCGAGGGCCCGCCCCTTGCCGTTAGGGCGGTTTCAAAACAATCTATCCACCAATCGCAGTTATCGTTTTATCTCACCAACCCGAGTAGGGTGGGAGGCTGTCGGAAAACCTAACCAGATTGGCCGTTCTTCAGCGGACCGCCTCGCAAATCTCGCTGTCGAGAGAGGGGCACGAGATGGACACTAAGTAGACCAGTCACCCCTAATCTGGGAGCAGCTCAGTTGCTTTTATGAACGCTTCAGAAGGTTTGAAATGCAGAGACTGCATTAACAACGGGAGAAGAGCTGCTGAGCACATCGCGCCTCCTCCCCTTTGAGGGGACTGCTCGCGGGGCGCCCCTTTTCACGACCGTAGCTGCGCCCCGGGCTTTCTCTATGGTTGGTACCCAGCATGGAGGGGGCACTGCACGCGATCACAGCCTCCCCCTCGGGAAGACCTCCAGAGTTCGCGAGTCTGTACTCGAGAGCCTCTAAACCGCTGTTCGGTAAACCTGGCTGTCTGGCGAATGCACCGATGAGCTCAGGGTCGTGGTTAAGCTAAACACTACAACGCCCCAGATCGCAGGGCGCCTGACGCTGCACCACCTGTCGCCTCAACCCAAGACACAAAACTCCAGGGAGTCAGGCAATCGAGATAGACAATGCAAAGGCCCGCTGCCCGGGAGCTGGACCTTCGGTTCACAAGTCACTCGCAATCTCTGCTTAGACAAAGGCACACAAACGCCACAAGCAGATGCCCCAAGTCGCGTCAGACGCGTCGATTCAGGGGCTAATGCACCGGAGAGCAAAGTCTGCTCAGGCGAGCGGCATCACATGCTTATGACAACAGGACAGTTAGACGACAAGCTCAGGACAGTTAGACGACAAGCTCACACGACAGCACCTAGACACACAGCACCCACTCAGAAGCAGGAAAGACACTCACGTGGGCCCAGAGGTTCCAGTCCAGACACCCCTCCCCTCCCCTCGCCCACGTCCGACTTCCTCTCTCCTCCCAGCTTCCCACAAAGATGAGTTCTTAAAAAAAAAAAAAGTTTGTGGCCCGGATTGAACTGCTCCAGCTTCTCAGGAATCGCCACCGGGGGGCGTCCGGGCGCTGCCTAGGTTCCTCCACCGGCGGCCCGGCACACCCAGGGACTTGTGCCCGCGATGCTGTGCTCACACCGCGGGCCTGCGTGGGCAGGCGTCCCCTTGAGGGCTGGTGATGCTCTCGGAGGTGTCTGGAGCTTGTGTGTCTATGTGAGTCGGCCCGTTGGCTCTCTGGGTATCTATTGTGTTCTGTCTCCGAGTATTGGTGACACCTCTCTCCCTCCTTTTCTGTATTTGTGTTGCTGTAGTTTCTTCCTGTTTCTGGTGTCTGCGTGTACATGTTTGTATCTCCGTAACTCTGTGTCTGTGAATGTCACTGCCTCTGTATTCATGACAGGTATGCCAGGGTGTGTCCTTTAACTCCTGTGTCTGTTACTTTGGGGAAAGGGTGTCAACTTCTAGACCCCATTAAGCCTTTTTCTGCTGATGTTATCGGGGAAAGCTGAGTGGAGACAAGAGAAGAGAGAAGCATGGCTATAAAGTTTTATGTGATCTGAGCCCCTCTGGAGACACCAGAGTCCACATTCTGTACAGGGGGTGAGAGGGACTGGCTCAGGGGGGCAACATGCCCCCAAAGAAGAGAGATCATCCCCTGGGGGAAAGGAGGGATCCCTAATTCATTGCACAGGCTAGAGAGGGGCACACAGCCACATGAGAGGAGGAAGCGGAGGTGGATAAGAAGGGAGGGACACACAAATTGCTATAAGGTTAGAACCTTGGAATTGTACCTTAGGCTTCTAGACCAGTGGACCTTGAGAATCTTCTATTAGAATCTTAGAATTACAGTGTCTAGAATCTTATGACTCAGGAATGTGTGTATCTGGGCCCTTGATTAAAGTTCTAGAAAGGCAGAATGCAGCCCAGACCTAAAATTGTCCAAGAAGTGATTAGAACTTTGATATCTAGTTAGTCATAACTGTTGAGTCTTATGACTTATACACTGCGGATCCAGAATCTCAGACCAAACAAATCTAGAGTGCTTTGGAACATAGACTAGAACAACATTAGAATCTTAGCACTTAATCTAGAATCTTGGGGCATGGAATCTGGACACTTAGAAACGCCAGTTTCTTAGACTGTCTAGAATATCACATTTTAGAACATTTGATCTTAGAACCTCCAGCTTAGACTTCTAGAATTTTTGAATTTCAGATTCTAAAACCTTTAAATTTTAGGATCTAAGATCCCATAACAAGAGTTTTGAGGATCATAAAGACTTAGAACCTATAGCTGACCATCATTAGGGGCTTAGAACTTGAGAATATAAAACCTTGAAGGTATAGTTTTACATCTAGAATGCTTAAACTACAAGAATCTTTGAACATCAACTTTTAGAGCATTAGGTAGGTCTTACTATGATTTTAGAATTGTGGAATCTTATACCCTAAGGACTCAATGCCCTAGAAAAGTAAGTTCTAGGATAATAGAACTTAGATCCTAGGACTAGAATCTTAATGCTTTAGGACCTAAAACCTTAGGAGCTTTTCAATTTTAGAACCTCTGAAAATCTAGCATAGCATCTCAGAGCCTTTCCACATCTAGAACCTTAGCACTTTAGAATCAGAGACTCTGGAATTTTGGCTGCTTAGAACCCAAAACTCATGACATCTTTGAACTGGACCCTTTAAACTTCAGACTCTAGAATCTTGGAATGAGGGCCCTTAGTGGTTGCCAACTAACCCGTTCCACCACACTTCTGGAATGGGGACGTGGAGGTGTGGAAAAGGGAAAGGATCTGTCCTGGATGGACGTGAAATAGGCAGGAAAGGGAGGCTTGCATGAAGGTAAGGCCAGGAGAAAGTTGGGGGGAAGACTGTCCCCCAGTGGCAGTGCCTAGCTTGGGTCCTGAGAGAGAGTCCCAGGTAGAGGGTTGCTCAGGCTCCATCCTCTTGCCCTGGGGGTGCAGGGGAGCCCCTGTCAGCAGGCAGGGTGGGGCCAGGGGCTGTAGAAGGGCAGAGGACATAGCGTCCGGCAGGATGGACCTCAGCCGAGGTGAAGCAGCTGCAGGAATCCTTGGGGTCAGGCTGGGTTGGGGGGTCAGCTCCTCCAGAAGCTCCAAGTGGTTCAGAATGACCCCCACCCTCATCCATGTTGACATAGAGGATTTCATCCGGCTCCTGGGCGGGGGGCAGAACCTTCAGTGTCTTCTCCAGGTCTTCCCGGAGCTCTGCAAAACTCGGTCGGTCCCGGGGGTTTAGCTCCCAGCAGCGGAACATCAGGGCATACCTAGGGCAGCAAAGTGAGGGGCAGGACTCTGAGCAGGGGCTCCAAAGGGGGGGCGGTCTGGGAGTTTGGGGCATGTCAGGACGTTGGAGGATTAGGGGGCATCTATGGGGACTTGAGAAGTCTCGAGTTTTGGAGGCATCCTCAGGAGCTGGAAAGGGCCTGGGAAAACCTCTCTGGGGGGGGAGTGGTGTTCTAGCGTGGGTCTGTCAGAGCAGAGCCTCCCAGAGCATCAGAGCCTGACTCTGCCACTTGCAAGTCGTGTTGGTTTAAAATATGTGTGCAGGCCCTCGCTGCCCAGTGGGTTGAAGTGTAGTGCTGTGAAGCTAGTGGCAGCCACTGCAGCAAGAGTTCGATCCCCAGCCAGGGAGCTGACCCACACGGCACAGCAGACCTCTCCTGACCCGCCCGCTGCTCCCCTCAGCAGTGGACTTCGTCGATCTGCCTGTTCTGCTCCCCACTCTGTCTCTGGTGAAGCCTCTCACTACCCCTGCACCTCTGGCCTGTACCCCAGTTCTGTATCTATAAATAATAAATCTTAAAAAAATATGTGTGTAGATTCATAGATGTTTCCTCCCTTTTAAAGATGGAGCCTCCTCCCCCCATTTAATATGGGGGGGGACCTTTTCAACTGGATTCTGACTCAGCAGCAGTGACAGTTTTCAGTGACTTCTGACACTAGGTCATAAAAAGCATTGTGATTCTCTCATGCTTTCTCTTGAACGGCTCCTCTGGGTGAGGCCAGCCGCCATGTTGTAAGAAGTTCAAGCAGCACCATAGAGAGGTTCCCATGGCCTCCGGCCCACCATGGCCGTGAGAATGAGCCCCCTTGAAAGTGGTATTCCATTTTCAACCTTCAAGTGACTGCAGCCCACCACCCTCCCCCCCTTCCCCCCACACCACCACCCTGACAGTAACCGTGGTAGAAATCCCAACCCAGAATCACCCTGCTATGCTGTTCTTAGACTCCTCATCTACAGAAACACTACAGGTCATTCTAAGCTTCTGGGTTCGTGGATATAGCTCCACAGCCTTTAAAAATGACTAATCCTGTCAGTGGGCGTCAGTTTCCTCATGGGCAAAATGGGAAGAATAATGATACCTACGTTCTGTGGCTTTGGTCAGGACATGCAAAGTACCTACAACAGTGCCTTCTAGTAGTGCTACTGACACATTAACTGTTACGTACCCAAAGAGAACCCCGGGGAATTTGAAGGCCCAATAGTCTGACCTACGCAACATCTTCTCTTGGCTCCCAAAGGCTGCAGAAAAGCTCTGCAATACTCCAAGGGCGCTGTGAGCTGAGGCTGTCCTACGAGGCCTGAGCACACCCAAGACTGGAGACGCTCAATATAGCTCACAGGTTACTTGCAGAGCGCCCAAGGGAGATGTGGATGCTCGGGTGTGTGGACAGAATTCAAGTTCTTTGGAAGAAGGTCTCTCAGAGGCAGGCTCCCCAGGGAACGTGCGCCGGTCTTCAATGCCCTCGGCTGCCCGGCCAAGGGGCTGAGCCGGCAGAGGAGGGGACGGTGCTGTTTGAACCCTCGCACCCCGGTAGCTAGGAGGGGCCTGCAGAGCATTCTGAGAGGGCGGCAGGTTACGCAACAGTCTGAGGGACCCATGCAGGTTTTAGAGGGCTCTGGATATGTTGGGACCATGTGGGGTGCTCAGGGTTTTGCAGTGGCTTCTGGGGTTGAAGTGGAATGGGGGCGGGGAGTTCTATGGGTGCTCACAGTCCATCCAGACAGTCCACAGGCTGCTTCAGGCGGTTTCCCTGGCGCAGGTAGTCATAAATCTCGCTGTTCTCCACTCCCGGGTACGGCGTTTGGCCCCGTGTGGCAATCTCCCACATCGTCACCCCAAAAGACCACTGTGGTGGCAGGGGAAAGACCATTAGAGCTTCTCTTCTGCACGAAGACACTTCCCAACACACGAGGTCACGTCAACACACCTACATGCACGCAATAGAAAACTATCTTTCTGAGCACACCCCAGTGTGTCCCGGAAACCCTCAGTTACCTGCTCACACTTGCACACACCTACGCACTCCACAGAGGCCTCATGTGTCAGCCGCCATCGCCTCTCCTAACTCCAACTGTCGCATGTGCCTCGTGGGCAGGTAACTATCCCCAACACCCCAACATGTCCATGGCTCACAGACACTCACTGCACCCCCAGACAGGCCTCAGCTGCGTGGCCCTGCGGGCCCCGTGTGAGATGATCAGGCCAGGCCACGTGGGCCCACTGTCCCCCACGCCTGTCGGGGGTGCGCCTACCACATCACTCTTGCTGGTGTAGACACGGTCCGCCAGGCTCTCAATGGCAATCCACTTGACCGGCATCTTGGCGATGCGCCCCTGGCGATAGTAGTCCCCATTGTAGATCTTCTTGGAAAGCCCAAAGTCCGCCACACACACGGACATGTTCTCATTCAGCCTGCCAGGGTTGGGGGAGGGACAGGGTTGGCAGGAAGGCGGGGCTCACTCTCCCACCTGTCTCGACCTCTTGCTCCGGGTGCCCTGCTTGCGGGGTGGGGCACTGCCTCCCCTCCCGCCACAGGCTTCAGAGGAACTGCTTCTTTCCTTCTTTTTAAAGATTTGTTTATTTCTGCATACAGAACTGGGGTACAGGCCAGAGGTGCAGGGGGTGTGTGTGTGTGTGTGAGAGGGTTCATCAGAGACAGAGTGGGGAGCAGAACAGGCAGACTGACGAAGCACAATGCTGAGGGGAGCAGCAGGCGGGGGGGTCAGGAGAGGTCAGCCGTGCCATGTGGCTCACCTCCGGGGCAGGGATAGAACTGGCATAGAAGCGGCTGCGGCCAGCCTGCAGTGCTGCATCCCAACCCATTGCACCACCAGGGAGGGCCCAGAACTGCTTATTTCTTACGCCCTCCATGAAATGAGAAGGGGAAGAAGGCTGATGAGGGCCTCCTAGTTCTGGCTTTTCACCAGGTTCTTCCTTAGCTCCTGGGGTTTGATTTTTTTTTTTAATTATGTACATACACATTTACACACACAAAGATATTTATATATATCTAAAGAAACGTGCACAAATCTTAAGTGAACAGCTTACTGGATTTTCACAAACATATCTAAGTAAACAGCATCCAGATTAAGCAGCGGAACATTGAGAGGCATCTGTGTGAGGAATACTATACAGAAAAGAAAAAGAAAGAACTCTTGATACCACAGTGACATGGGTTAATGCCTTAAATATCATGCTGAGTTCAAGAAGCCAACACAGAGGAGTATAGACAACATGGTTACATCCGTATGATGTCTATGAACTGGTGACCGATATGATGGTGACAGAAGTCAAGAACAGTTATACTCCCCTGGGGGCAGTGACTGGGAAGGGGATGAGGGAGCCCGGACAGAACCTACTTTATTTTCAGCCATGTAAACATTCATGGAGCCTTATACGTCAGGTGCATGTATTTCAGTGTACGTAAAATAGATATCGATTTGTTTTAAGTATGAGAAAGAAATAGATTACAGGGCCTCCCTGATGGCCTGAGGGTTAAGTCTCAGCACTATCATCTCTATGACCTGAGTTCGATCCCCGGCCAGGGAGCTGACCCACATGGCGCAGCAGACCTCTCCTGTCTCCCCACTGCTCCCCTCAGCAGTGTTCTGCTCCCCACTGTGTCTCTGAGTCCTCTTAACCCCCACACCTCTGGCCTGTACCCAGGTCTGTATGCATAAATCAATAAATATTAAAAAAAAATTCAGCACAAAGGGGAACAGAGATGAAGCTCCGAGGCCACCCTCATCGGTCCCTTCCTCCTGCCTCGCTCAGGCTGTGCTCCCAGAGCCACCCTGTCGCTCCTCTCTCCACATCCAAGCACTTCTTCAGGAGCTCCATGCAAGGCCCCCTCTTCCAGGAAGCCTTCCCTAACTCCCCGCTGACCCCTCTAGCCTCTGAGTCTTGACAGAGCCAGGGTGAGTGTGCCGCCCCGTGCCACTGGGAGGAAGAGCTCCGGAAGAAGCTGGTTCCGGAAAAGGACACTCACATGCAGTTCCTGGCCGCCAGGTCCCGGTGTATGAACCTCTTGGTACTCAGATACTCCATGCCACTGGCAATGTCCGCCATGAACTTCACCAGCATCTGCGTGGGCAGGAACTGGAGGCGGGGGTGGGGGGGTGGGGGAGAGTGGAGGTGAGCAGGGTCTCCTTGCTCCATCTGTCCTCCCTTCCTCCCTTCCTGCCTCCTGTCCTGTGTGCCTGCTCTCCCTTGCACTGGTTCCCCTTGGCTCTGAGAATTAAATCCAACCTCTTTTGGCCCTCCCTGGTGGCGCGGGGGCAAAGCACAGCACTAAGAAGCTCTCCGCAGCCACTGCAGCAGCACGAGTTCGATCCCTGGCCCCGGAGGTGGCCCACATGGCGCAGCAGACCCTCCTGACCTGCCACTGCTCCCCTCTGCAGTGGATTTCGGCCAATCTGCCTGTTCTGCTCCCCACTCTGTCGCTGGTAGGTCCTCTCACCACCCCCACATCTCTGGCCTACATCCCAGATCTTGTGTGTATAAATAAATACAAATAAATCTTAAAAAAGTAACGCCGACCTCTTTCTAGAAGGCCCCTGCTCTACTGCTCCTTCCTGACAATTCCCCCAGCCATGTGCCCCTTTCTGCTCCTCACACAAGCCACACCTGTCCCCACCTCAGAGCCTCTGCCCGTGCCGCGCCCTCTGGATGGTGTCCGGCTAGATGTCCCCTCTTTCCCCCAAGGGGCTGCTCCTTCCAGGTCACCTCCTAGCGGCCTGTCCACCCAGTCAGATCGCCTGGCTCCCTGTCACCCAGCCGCCTCCAGCTCCCGCCTTGCACTTCAGGGACCTGGCTCTTCTGTTCACTGATGTGCGGGTGGCCTGGTCCTCCCGCTGGCAGACAGCTCCGGGGCGCAAGCTCTGCGCCCCATGGCGTCCCAGGTACCTGACTGGTGCTCAGTGAAAGCTGTGGACTGACGGCTACAGGCCCCTCACCACTGGCTGGTCCCCAAGCCGGGAATAGAGGAGGAAGCTGTGCAGGTCTCCGTGCTTCATGAAAGGCAGGATGACCACCGGCGCGGGGAAGCCCTCTCGGTCCGAACCCTGGAAACACACGCCTGGCCCCCAGGCTCCTGTCACTCCACGGGGCTCAGGGGGCAGCCACCCCCTCGCCAGCTCGCCAGCTCGGTGTCCCCCTCCCGGTAAAAGCTGGCTTCCACCCTGTTGGGGGCGGGGAGTCGGGGTGGCAAAGAACCAAGCTTCAGAGAAGCCACTCCAGCCGTTCCCAGGGATGTTTCCAGAGCCCTCCTGGGGACCTCAGCTATTTCTGGGAAAGGTCAGAGGTCACATTCCAAACTGAGGGAGAGACGGAAGGGGGAGTTTGTGACTTTGATGCAGAAGGGACTGGAGGCTCCATCCTAACAGGGGTCTCTCTGGGGAGGCTCCCCAGCCCCTAATCTGCCCCTCCCTCACCGATGAGCCGCATGACATTGGGGTGGTCGAATTCCTTCATGCAGACAGCTTCACTCAGGAAATCCTCCAGCTCTGACCTCGTGCAGATGGCAACTGGGGACAGGAAAGTATGGGAGCAGGCTGAAGGGAGAGTTCCTCTGTTTCCTGCTCCTCCCCTCCGCTCCCCACCCCCATCTTCTTCATCTTCATCCGAAGTGATAAGAGCTCCACGCTTGCCTCAGTGCTTTACACATGTGAACCCAGCCGACCCCGGCCCCTCTGAGGCACTGCCTACTAGTGTCTCCATTTTAAAGACGAGGCACCAGGGCACAGCGCGGCTAAGGAGCCTGCTTACACTTTCTCAGGCAGAATTCAAACCTCGTCAGCGTGACATCCTGGTCCACGGCCCACACCAGGTACTGCTGACTGCTTCCCAGCACATCCCAACAACCCGGGGTGTCTGAATGAGCCCCAGATATCCATACGATCACCCCCTTCTTATAGTTCAGGGCACGGTGACTCCCCCGCAGTGTACTTCGTTAATCCACCTGTTCTGCTCCCCACTCTGTCTCTGGTGAATCCTCGCACCACCCCTGTGCTCCATCTCTGTATGCATCAATAAATAAAATCTTTTTTAAAAAAGGATGAATGAACGAATGGACAATGACTCTATAGTCCACGCATGTAGCCCCTGTGGTGGACAAAAGGTCATTTTGCCTGCTCCAGCCTGACTCTATGCTTCTTCCTTGTCTTGAAAGGCCTTGCGCTGAGCTTCCTGTGCCGTGTGATCCCGAGCTGGCTTTCACCCACTCTGATGATATAAATAACACAGCTGGAGTCCACAGGCATGGCGCAGACTGTCCATCACCCCAGCATTAAGTGTTTTATCTCACAACAACCTAGGAAGTAGGAACGTTATGATCTGATTTTCCAGAAAAGGAAACTGAGGCCAGAGAGGGAAAGCCACTTGTCTGAGCTCACACAGCTGGTAAATAATGAAGTCAGGTACTTCATTCTAGATCTTTCCCTAGCCTGCTTTGTATTACAAGCGGCTGGCCCCAGTTTCCGGGCCCTATCGGTTTCCTGTTGTGCCTAATGGGAAGCTGTGATGGATGCTTAGCAGATGGGGGGAGGCGCGGGAAACCAGGGTACTGCACCCCTCCTGCTTCTGCTTCTGCATTATGGGTGCTGGGTCTGCTCTGTGTTGAAGCTCCTAACTCTGTGACTCCCAGATCCCACCAGATGCCCCTAACTGTGACCTCAGCACCTCCTCCTTCGGTCCTTCAGGCCCAAGGCGCTAACCACTTCTTTCCTCTGCTGCTGACCTCCAGATTGCCACTTCCCCAGTCATCCCTTCAGTCCTTTGTAGTAATGCCCTTCTGTTGAAGAACCTGTCACGGATGCCATCTCCTGTCCAGAAACACTGAGCCTCAGTGGTTGGGACTAACTTGCCATTAGCTTTTCTGCTTTTCTGTCTCCTTAGGGGCATAGGGAAGGAGCCTGGGGTCCCACACATGTGCACAGACTTACTCTTCATCGTCTTCACAGCCACCTTGAGGACGGAGTCGTCCTGGTTGAGCTGGCCCTCCATCACGGCTCCAAACTCTCCTGTGGGAAACCAGAGGAAGACATGGGATCACAAGCCTGGGAGTGGGCTTGGGAGCGGGGAGTGAAGGACTTGGGTGTTGGGTGGATGTGTGTGTGCTGGGGGAACGCACCTTCTCCCAGGGTCTTCCCCAGGGCCACCTTATGCCGGTCCACCATCACATCCCGGAGCTTCTCCTTCAGCTCCTCACTGATGCCCAGGCTGTTCACTGTAGGGGTGGGGGTGGAAAGAGCATGGACCAGGCCTGGCCTTCAGGCAGCACTCACCCATAGGGAAAGGCCCATTCTTGAAATACTGACATATCTCTGTTGTTCAATAGGGCTGCTACCTGGAGGCCCCCTGGATCTCCCCGCCCGAGTAGCAACTAAGGAGTTAAAGCTTAGACCAAAAACAAGTGCCAGTGAGGAGTGGAGTAAAGGGAACCGTCTTACACTGTTGGTGGGAATGTAGCAGACTGGATCGAACCCTATCAGATACAGTATGGAAGTTTCTCAAAAGAATGGATCTGCCTGACAACCCAGCAATTTCACTCCTAGGCATGTACCCAAGCAATACAAAAAAGCTGATTTGAAAGGAAACCTGCTCTCCAATGCTCATTTGAACATTATTTGCAAAGTATGAAAATAACCCAAGGGCTCATGGGCCCTCCCTGGTGGCACAACAGGTTAAAGCACAGCACTGCGAGGCTGACCACAGCCACTACTACACGAGTTCGATCCCCG